TCCGTCTTCTTCTCCGACACCGTCAGCCCGAACTCCCCGAACACCTCAACGATCATGGTCATCATTCTCGATAGCCCTTCTGCAGACCTCGATATGACGCCGGCATCATCGGCATACAGCATCCCCCATACTGCCCTCCGTACTCGGTCAAGGGGTGTCTCCTCCCCCCCCCCCGCTTCCGTCTTTCCCTCCTCCAAGCACACCAGGCTCCGCAGAACAACATCATCCTCGCTGAATCGGATGACAACGACCTCGAGGGCCTCGGCGAAGAATATGTTGAACAGCAGTGGGGATAGCACACATCCTTGTCGCACGCCCTGTGTCACGAAGAACCAGTCCGATAGTTCTCCGTCGTCCATGCGCACCGTGGCCCGCATTCCATCGTGGAATTGGCGGATGACTTCGATCAGCTTCGCGGGAATCCCGGCCCTGGCCAGCACCTTCCATAGCATCTCTCGGTCCACCGAATCATACGCCTTGTTCAAGTCGACGAAGCACATGTAGAGCGGTATTTTCTTTCTCCGCCCCAGCTCCTGGAGGCGGCGCACGACGAACAGCATGTCGACGGTGGACCGCCCGGGTCGAAATCCGCACTGTTCCTCCGGGAGGATGTTGTTGGCTTCGCAGAAGGCGCTTAGACGGTTGGTGATGATCTTGATGGGGACCTTGCCTACGTGAGATAGTAGCGGAATCCCCTTGTAGTTGTACAGTTGGACCGGTCACCCTTCTTGTACAGCACCTTGATGGTTGCATCCTTCCACTCTCGCGGAATATCTCCTCCGTTCCACACCTTGACGAGAATGGTATGGAGGTGTCCCAGGACGAAGGGTTCGTCGTCATCGATCTTGAGAAACTCGGCAGGGAGAGAGTCATGGCCGGGTGCCTTCCAGTTCTTGAGGCCTTTCGTTGCCCGTGCCACCTTCTCATGGGAAAAGATGGAATCTTTCCCAGCGCTGTCACGCAATAAAGAGGCAATATTTGAGACAGTCAGATGCGCCGTCTCACTCTTCAATTGCCAACCCTGTTTCCACAGGAAAACAGAGAAAAGAGAGTGCTCTGTTGAGACCGTTCAGTCGTCAGCCAGCACGCCCGCGGTCACCGACCCCGGGTTTTGCAGCTGAATAGACTTGGTAGAGGCCCCCATCCCAGCCGTATCCCAGGATCGTCTGGACCGGGCGACAACCTCACAATAGCCTAGCACTATAGGTTCTCTCTTTGTCTCTCCTCCCCATCTACACGCCGCACCATCCTTCACCGATGAGCGCCACCTTTGACATCGACATGGCTACGGCCGCTCCCCCCGTCAGCATCGAGGCCATCGGGGACGTCGTTGCTGTAGCCAAGGGCGGCGTCCATGTATGGCAGCCGCACAAGCTCGTGAGCGCACCGCGCTGCGCCCTGCCACGAGCATCTCCGTGGACGAGCTGCACAGTCTGTGCACCACCCTCGCCGCCGCGGGTGGTGCCTGGGAATGTGGCCA